AAGTGGCTATATTTACACTAGTGAGACTAAACCTTTGATGAGAAGTATATGTACGTAAGTGGCTATATTTACACAAGTGAGACTAAACCTTTGATGAGAAGTATATGTACGTTTCCTGCTTATCAGCTGAAGTAAGTGGCTATATTTACACTAGTGAGTCTAAACCTTTGATGTGAAGTAGATGTACGTTTCCTGCTTATCAGCTTATGTTTGTTTGATGTTAACGCCGTATTCAGAAATATTCCAGTTATATTGCAGCGGTATGTAAACAATCATACCAGACCAGACAATCCTGTGATCAACAGCATGAGCATCAAAATCCGGCAGTTATAGAGATGACAACACTGAAATTGCATAATATAAAAAATATATTCGTCCAGGGCATTGTTCCAGCAATAGAGAAATGCTACAATAATGGTACTCGTGCGTTTTTCCTGTAAAAAACTGGACAAATGGGAGTGAGTGAGTTTAGTTTAAAGCTTCATTCAGCAATATCCCAGCTATATGGCGGCGGTCTGTACAAAATCTAGAACAGAAGGACCAGACAATCCAGTGATCAACATCATGAGCATCGATCTACGCAACTGGGAACCGATGACATGTGTCAAGCAAGTCAGACAGCCTGACTACCTGATCCCGTTAGTCGCCTCTTACGACAAGCATGTGTTACTGAAGATCAATTCTAAACAGGACCTTCGCGGGTGAATAGATTGGAAATTCAGAAACACCGTAGCACATGCCTACAGAATATACACATCACGTTTTTCAGTATCACTCAACTGGCGATATGTAGTTGACGACAGTGTTTGTGTCATCCACACAGACATCACGCACTTGTCTGATATTTGATGGCCCTCCTTTTCCTCCTCTTCCTCCTCCTCCTCCGTGACCAGCTGCAGGGAAACAGTCTGCCAAAACAGGCATTGGGGAATCACTTCCTTCTTCTGGGTTCATGATAGGCTGGTGACTCCTGTTGTCGTCGTCCTCCAGTATTTCACAATACCCATGGTACTCAACAGCGTGGTCATCTTTGTGTTCCTCCACACTGTCAGGTAGAGGGAAGGCCGCTTGGATGCCTCTGTGAAGGGAGATCATATTTATTAATCCTTATATCAAAAGAAGTGGACTCATTTATATTATTTGAGCGTCAACTATATTCCTTTATCCTGTTGCCCATAATAACAAATGTCATACTTATGAAGCATATTTTTCACTGTAACGTCATCTCATTTTAGCGTTATTTTATTTCAAGGTCATCTCATTTTAACACACTGAGTCTGTCATTGTCCACAATACCAACATATTTTCCAGTAACGTTCACAACCTCGATTTGTTTTGTATTTTCATTCCAACTTTGTAGAATTCACAGGGCGAGTTTAACAAATGATGGCACATGTGTCCAGGTAAAGCCCTTATGTATAATGTAATCTGTTCCGAGTGTGGTACATGCTTATCTGACAAGTCACAACAATAGACACTTAAAATTAGTACCGTGTAGTATCGTGAAATAGCCATTGATAAACCAGCATTTTATATCAGCTCTAAACACAATTACATATAGCAACTGCAAAGTGGCAGTTGTGTATGTTCATGTACTTTGATAAACTACTAGGTTTGACCAAGAGGTGACAGTAAAGCAACCATCTCGGTAAACCAAAAGGAGAGTCGATCAAGACCACAAATCACTTTATTGTTGATGTTTCTATATGTTTCAACAAGGCACAATACTGTTTTCCAGTTGATTTCTACGAACTACAGGTAATCTAAGGGTTGGTTGATTTGTTGTTTTAGTCGCACTTAGCAATTTACAAACTTTATGGCGACGGTCTGTAAATAATCGAGTCTCCACAAGACAATCCTGTGATCAACAGCATGAGCGCTCATCTACGCAATTGGGAATCGATGACATGTGTCAAAAAAGTCAGCAAATCTGACCACTCGATCCCGTTAGTCGCCTTTTACTATAAGTATTGGTTGCTGAAGACCAATTCCAACCCAAATCTTCACGGGTATGGTAATGTAAGGGGAGCACGACATGCAAAAGACAACAGAGCCAACTGTTTACTTCTGTTATGATCTTACCTGTCACATCTCACGACCTTGCGAAAACGGTAGCACACTGCCATCAACATCAGTAATAGAAGTGCTGATCCTGTTAAAAGTCCTATAGTAGCAGCATCAGCAGCTTGTGTAGCCCCATCTAAACATACATAGATATATAATGAGCAATTGCTGACAGACTTAACTTTCTTTTGAACAGAGAAAAGAATCACGTTACGTCACATGGTCAAGATTTACTATTCATACTTTGCTAAGGATCAAATCAAGGATTCAACAGAAAACTATGATATGAGGTCCAATTTGGTTTAAATATTTAAGCTTATTGTAAATATGGATCATAGGTTTCAGTATGTCATTTCATCTTGTGGATCCCATACCTGCTATTGACAGGTGTTGTGTACTTGTCAGTGACTCGTTCCGTGATATGCAAAATGGTCGATTGCTGCTATGAAAACCATTGTTATGGTTACTGATGTATCAAGTGCATAAGGTTAGATTAAGGTGACTGTGTGCCTGAAGAGGGGTTACTATATCATTATTTATCCAGTTTTAAATGGATACAAGCTCAAAATATAAACTACGTCTAAGTAAAGTTGTGAATTTTTGTGATCCTTAGCAAAGTGTGAGAGGTATATAATGATGAGACATTTTCTCTGTTATCGTAATCATGACAATCAAAACTAAAATACATCTATCATCAATCATAAACCTGTTAACAATTATTACTTATACCTAAAAAATTCCATACTTACACTGATTGGAGCATTGTAAACCGACCCAGCCATCTTTACATCCATAGATACACTTTCCGCTCTTCTCTTGGCATTCGAAACTAGCAGCTGTTTCGTTCAAAGAAATGTGGTTGACTCGACAGTTTTCACTGCAATTCTTACTGCAGAAAGGGCCATAAAACCCAGGTAGGCATCCATGGAAACAACGAAAGTTGCATGGTTTTATACATCGATTACATGAATACTCGCAGTTCCGGCCGAAATATGGCGGATGGCACTCCCAACATGCCCCTGATGTCCTGTTGCATGTTTTGCATCTGTCAGAACACGTCTTGCAGTCAGATCCGTAGTGCCCATCACTGCAGCCAGACACACAGGACACAGCGTCCAGATAACAGTACTCTCCATCACAACCACCTGGACATTCTGTACATCCACCGCCTGGACTGTCACATGGTATGAGGCACCTTCCGCCCTGGTATCCAGACGCACATCCTTCGGAACACACACCAATGCCAGTAGCTGAAGATTGGCATATGTTTCCCTTGCACGTCTTACTGCAGACAGATTTGCACATCAGGCCGAAATAGCCATGGTCACATTGTGTGAGACACTGTCCCGAGATGTTACTACAGTCTGAACAGTGCTGACCGTCTCTGCATGGTGCAACTGGAACAGATTTCTGAAAGTATGTCTCAAACTAGTTTGAGTAATGATAGGGACAGTGGGATAGCCTCGTGGTTAAAGCTTTCGCTTGTCACGCCGAAGACCAGGGTTCGATTACCCACATGGGTACAATGTGTGAAGCCCATTTCTGGTGTCCCTCGCCGTTATATTACCGGAATATTGATATAAGCGGCGTAAAACAAAACTCTCTTACGCATATAATGATATAGATGTCAATAATAGTGATATGATGTAAACAATAGCATTACGTAATTGAAGTGTTATTCAGTACATAGCAATGTTACAAACTGGATTTACCTTGTGAGATCCCAACAATGTAAGCAAGTGACAACAGCTCCAATATTTCCATGCTATTTTCTTTCTGAAAAAAGTGGAAACACAACTGCTTCTCAAAAATGTGAAGACAGCGTTGTATGCAAAATGAAATGTACCCAGAGCAGAACTGGGGGAGAGTTTTAAACATACACAATGAACACACGAAAGTCACGACATGACCTTATGTTTGTGTTTAAGTTTCAGATTGGCGATGTTTGGGCTTGATTCCATGTTCCTTGTCAGCAGGAAACAAAACACACTATGTTTAGAAGCCATTCAAGTGTTTCCGGAAACATTTACTACAAATAAAACATCTTGGTTTCCGTACGGACGAATGTTTGGTTTCACTTGCGTCTGTGACGGTTTCTCGGGCTTTGGGTTTAGAAACCCAGAAATCATTACTGAATGTAAATCAGACATAATGATTGAATATAGGTTTTGTGTATTTTGACATCAGGTATTGAAAATGTTTCAGGAAGAAATCCTAATCATTGTCATCGTTTGAAACCCAAAACCTTTCTGTTCAGACTTGCCTTCTCTGTGTAACTTCTCGCACCTCCTCTCAGACAATTGCGCTTAGAGAATGTACTGTGCATGGGTTCAGCGCGTTACAAGTGGACTATTATTATTATTAATCTGCTACAAATAGGGCGGTGGGGTAGCCTAGTGGTTAAGGCGTTGGCTCGTCACGCCGAAGACCCGGATTCGATTCCCCACATGGGCACAATGTGTGAAGCCCATTTATGGTGTCCCCCCGCCATGATATTGCTGGAGTATTGCTAAAAGCGGTATAAAAATAAACTCACACAGTCAGTCAGTCAGTCAGATAACCTGTTAAAAGCACTGTCATTGCCATTGTCAGCTTCTTTAAATAAGTGGCGATACCCGATGAGCATGTCCCACCATCATATATTTTTGCCCATAGTTTTGTAATGCCAATGCATTTTCTAATAACAATGTACATGTATTCTCTTTGCAGTAACCTTTCCTGATTTGTAAACTTGTAACCGTTGTTTGTTGCATTTGTTTGTTAGTTTGTCAGTTGTTTTACATGACGTTTCAGAGTTGAGTTGTTGCTATATTTGAAAGTTCACGAATAGAGTTTTCGTCGTTACACAAGAAATTAATTAAACTAAGGAACTTTAGCATTTTATTATCTATGTTTTATTATTCATTGTAGTTACTACCGATATTTGTTTTGTATTTCAACAGCTTCCGCAATGTGTCTACTTGCAGTTTTGCTGGGGATCAGTGAGTACCTGTGTTATATCTATATCGTAGGGGAAGATGTGCTAGCTTCAATTCAGACATCCAGCTAGGGTCCATGCAGGAAGCAAATGTACTGTAAGTCCCCATAGTCCCTAGTATGGTGATCTACCTTCAGTTCTTGGCAATACATAGCTTGCTTTTATATTGCATTGTCTTCTATAGTTAGATTGTTTTAGCTTTTCATACTAGTTTTATATCTATATCTGTGATCCTCTAGTTTTTTACTGTCCTTCGGTTTTATAACTTGACTTTAGTTATTACAACTTTATGTATTATTCAAATCTTCGTCACGATATGGCTGCAATATTGCCGATGTGACGTTATATTTTAACTCACTCACTCACTCACATTCAGACTAAGGGTCATAGAGCACACATGAGTTCATACTGTCTTCACATTTTGCAAATCGATGTTACCTTGCGTCATTACTATTTGTCAGTTTTAATATGTAACAATTCTCTTCCAGCTTTACCGGTGCATGGCGATGAGCAATGCTCCTGGCGAATATATGGCGAGAACTGCGACAGGACCTGCCCCTCCAACTGTGCCATTGTCCCACCCAGAAACCTCAGACACTGTCAGAAGTACACAGGGAAATGTTCTGAGGGATGTTTCGTGGTTACCATGGCGACCAGTGTAATATATCCTGCAGCGGAGGCTGTTTAAATGAAACCTGCAATACCGGAGATGGACATTGTACGTTAGGTTGTAAAGAGACCTACACCGGGGATTTCTGCAATGAGACTTCAGGTACAGTAGTTCATGCAGGACCTAAACTTTCTTAACTGCTTTAACATCGGAGACAATAAATAGAACATCCTAAATATGCATTTCATTTATTACTTCTTGGTAGGTAGGTACGTAAGTCCCAAAAGTCTAACAGGATTTTAATCGTAGTAATTTTGTCATTTTAATGTATGGCTAAATCTCAGCATAAATGCCACGTCGCTAACGGCTGAAGCAAGGGACGGTGTAAATCCAGCTAGGGGCCATACAGGTAGCAAAAGTAATGTAAGTCCCCATGGACCCTAGTATGGTGATCTACCTTCAGTTGTTGGCGATCAATAGCACATTTTTACATTGTATTGTCCAAAATAGATTTTTACTTTTAAAGATATCTGCTATCTAGTTTTAACCCATTTTGTGCAATTTTACTGTCCTTCGTTGACAGGGTTTTATATATCATGTGTATTTATTATGAATTTATTTAGAACTAGTTTGAGTCACGATATAGCTGAAATATTGTCTTTGTGACTTTATATCTTCACTCACTCACTCACTCACTCACTCACTCACTCACTCACTCACTCACTCACTCACTCACTCACTCACTCACTCACTCACTCACTCACTCACTCACTCACTCACTCACTCACTCACTCACTCACTCACTCACTCACTCACTCACTCACTCACTCACTCACTCACTCACTCACTCACTCACTCACTCACTCACTCACTCATTCACTCACTCACTCACTCACTCACTCACTCATTCACTCTCTTATTCACTCACTCTTGGTAGGTAGCGATTTTTGAAACACGTGTTAACGTAAGGTGCAGTGAAGATTCCAAACCTCCACATTTTATAAGGCAATTTTTAACCTTTATGTATCTAATTGTATAGAATAGAAAATTGCATTACAAAATGTTGCTGTAAACCGGGTTATTGAGATGGTTACACCTTTAATTAAACAGGTTTATGTTTTTCTTCGTTTTGAGGAGCATTTTTCGAACACATAGCCACGACAACAGATAATCTTTCTGAGATTCTTGGTCCAATGTTCCTTGTTAGGGCCATGGGTTGGTGAGGATAAATTTGAAAATGGATGTTCACAGGTATAATAATTTATGGTTACATAGACACTCATGTGGATAGCACATATCTCATATTAATCTGACATACGGATGTTCTTTTTTATCGTGGATGTTTATTATTATTATTGTTTTTCAACAGGTATTTTGACATCTCCATCCACAAAAGTCACTACCACCACAGTGACAACCACGACAGTGACAACCACGGCAGGCCCCGATGACAACAATCTTGCTGCGATCCTTGTCCCAGTGTTCCTCATTATCCTCATCGTATGTATCATCCTTGCTGTGGTAGTGTTCAGACTGTAAGTGTATATTTCTTCATTATCTTCATCGTCTGTATCACCCCTGCTGTGGTGATGTTCAGACTGTAAGTGTATATTTCTTCATTATCTTCATCGTCTGTATCACCCTTGCTGTGGTGGTGTTCAAATTGTAAGTGTATATTCCTCATTATCCTCATCGTCTGTATCATCCTAGCTGTGGTGGTTTTCAGACTGTAAGTGTATATTTCTTCATTATCCTCATCGTCTGTATCACCCTAGCTGTGGTAGTGTTCAGACTGTAAGTGTATATTCCTCATTATCCTCATCGCCTGTATCATCCTAGCTGTGGCGGTGTTCAGACTGTAAGTGTATATTCCTCATTATCCTCATCGTCTGTATCATCCTAGCAGTGGTGGTGTTCAGACTGTAAGTGTATATTTCTTCATTAACTTCATCGTCTGTATCACCCTTGCTGTTGTGGTGTTCAGACTGTAAGTGTATATTCCTCATTATCCTCATCGTCTGTATCACCCTTGCTGTTGTGGTGTTCAAACTGTTAGTGTATATTCCTCATTATCCTCATCGTCTGTATCATCCTAGCTGTGGTGATGTTCAGACTGTAAGTGTACATTTCTTCATTATCTTCATCGTCTGTATCACCCTTGCTGTTGTGGTGTTCAGACTGTAAGTGTATATTCCTCATTATCCTCATCGTCTGTATCATCCTAGCTGTGGTGGTGTTCAGACTGTAAGTGTATATTTCTTCATTATCTTCAACGTCTGTATCATCCTAGCTGTGGTGCTGTTCAGACTGTAAGTGTATATTCCTCATTATCCTCATCGTCTGTATCATCCTAGCTGTGGTGGTGTTCAGACTGTAAGTGTATATTCCTCATTATCCTCATCGTCTGTATCATCCTAGCTGTGGTGGTGTTCAGACTGTAAGTGTATATTTCTTCATTAACTTCATCGTCTGTATCATCCTAGCTGTGGTGCTGTTCAGACTGTAAGTGTATATTCCTCATTATCCTCATCGTCTGTATCATCCTAGCTGTGGTGGTGTTCAGACTGTAAGTGTATATTCCTCATTATCCTCATCGTCTGTATCATCCTAGCTGTGGTGGTGTTCAGACTGTAAGTGTATATTTCTTCATTAACTTCATCGTCTGTATCACCCTTGCTGTGGTGGTGTTCAAACTGTTTGTGTATATTCCTCATTATCCTCATCGTCTGTATCACCCTAGCTGTGGTGGTGTTCAGACTGTAAGTGTTGATCCCCATTATCCTCATCGTCTGTATCATCCTTTCTGTCGTGATGTTCAGACTGTAAGTGTATATTCCTTCATTATCTTCATCGTCTGTATCACCCTTGCTGTGGTGGTGATCAAACTGTAAGTGTATATTCCTCATTATCCTCATCGTCTGTATCACCCTTACTGTGGTGGTGTTCAGACTGTAAGTGTATATTCCTCATTATCCTCATCGTCTGTATCATCCTTGCTGTGGTGGTGTTCAGACTGTTAGTGTATATTCCTCATTATCCTCATCGTCTGTATCATCCTTGCTGTGGTGGTGTTCAGACTGTTAGTGTATATTCCTTCATTATCTTCATCGTCTGTATCACCCTTGCTGTGGTGGTGTTCAGACTGTAAGTGTATATTCCTCATTATCCTCATCGTCTGTATCATCCTTGCTGTGGTGGTGTTCAGACTGTTAGTGTATATTCCTCATTATCCTCATCGTCTGTATCATCCTTGCTGTGGTGGTGTTCAGACTGTAAGTGTATATTCCTCATTATCCTCATCGTCTGTATCATCCTAGCTGTGGTGGTGTTCAGACTGTAAGTGTATATTCCTCATTATCCTCATCGTCTGTATCACCCTTGCTGTGGTGGTGTTCAGACTGTAAGTGTATATTCCTCATTATCTTCATCGTCTGTATCATCCTTGCTGTGTTGATGTTCAGACTGTAAGTGTATATTCCCCATTATCCTCATCGTCTGTATCATCCTAGCTGCGGTGGTGTTCAGACTGTAAGTGTATATTCCTCATTATCCTCATCGTCTGTATCATCCTAGCTGTGGTGGTGTTCAGACTGTAAGTGTATATTCTACTCTATAAATGTGCATCACTTCGACAGTCTACAAAGCGCCAACATTCTTCTGTCATTTAAAAAATTGAGTGAAAATAAATCTGCCCAAACATTTATTTAAAATTATTTTGAATTTCAAAAACGCAAACAAATGAAAGTGGATTATTTATGTTAGGATTAAACGTCACCCATTTAAATAATCAAACATGTACACACTTACATATCCTTTCAATTTTCTGTGATGAAAGTAATCATCACAATGTTTGCAATTTGTCATCAACGATTAAACAGACAACATTTGTTCTTTAACGAACTTATATATCCAGGCGTTTATTGAACTGCATAAACTAAAATTCATTCTCCACATTGTCAGACTGTAACATATGTACTACTGGGTTTTATCGTCGCATGGGGGTATACACTAATCTTCACTGACACTTTTAGCAGCATCTCTAATGTATGACATGTATGACACAGAATGTGGAGACCATGCTACCTATAGTGAAACAACAGTCTTACATTGTTCCCTGTAAGTATGAAACTCTGTGTAGATGTTCATGAGCATACCTTTAACACTTCAATTTTACTTCCGATTCACTTCCAGGAGATCGAGGAGAAGGACAGAATCGAAAAGAAGATATCCCAATAACGAATACAGGTAACTATAACTTGTAAACGATGATGAATAGCCTACTTAGGTCACTGTGTAATCCACTGACCGTATATGGATTTGGGGAGAAAAATATGAATGGTAAAGAAATGCCTTGTCATCAACATCTAAATATGTGTACATACATTGACACGACTCTTGAATGAGCAAACTGTAAACTGAACTTAAGCTCAAGTTGTGACCAAGTGCAACTAAATATGTAATACAAAGTATAATTCAAATGAAGGAAAACTGATTTCTATGGATAGTCAACTTCTTTATTGCAATGAGTGCGACGTTTCGGTGTAGGTACTAACACCGTTATAAAGCAAGTGATACAACAACTGAAGCAAGGAGAATATATACATAGCTGTATAGTGAGTATATACAATTAACAAGGTTGATGTACATTGGATATGTGATAAGTGATTACAGCAGAGGAGGTTGATGTACAGAGTGATTGATTGTGATTAGAGTTGAGTTTATACAATTGAGGAGTTGACGTACAATAGTTGTGGTTACAAGCACAAAGGAGGGAGAATGGAAGCCAGATGGACAAAGGAGGTAGGGAAGGATTACTGGTGGTGGTCTTTGATTAGGTGGTGATAGGCTGACGAGATGAAATAACCTTGATCTCGATTCATGGTGGGGTTGTGGCGTTGGATGTTATGGCTTCTAGGAGTTTCCTAATCGTAGTCTTGTCGGTTGATTTCTAGGATATCTTAGAAATCAACCGACAAGACTACAAAATTTTCCTTCATCTTCACAACTTCTAAAATGCCTCTCAAAGAAATATTATTCAAATGTTTTCTTTTCTTTGCAGTACTCCTGAAGCTGGTAAGTATGCCTTAGTTCAGTCAAATTAAGATCTTTTTTGGCGTCATGTCTGTCTGTCTGTGTATTGTGTGTGAGAGAGCGTGAGTTTGAGTTACAAAGGGAGGTAACTCTGTTTTATGTGCGCGTATGAGTGAGAGAGTGAGTTTGAGTGAGTGAATGAGTGTGTGTGAATGAGTGTGTGTGAATGAGTGTGCATGCGTGTTACTAGGAGGGGGCAATCTTGATGGCAATGCATGTATGTGTGTGTGTGCGCGCGTGGGTTGTTGGTGGGTATGAGAGTGTGTGTGTGTACGCACATGTATTCTCGTACATATGTAGACAAAGGGAGGTAACTCTGGCTCACGGGCGTAATGCACCCACAGAGACAAATTGTCATCGCCGCTTAGACTGGAGCTTCAGATGGCACCGATTTCGTAATGTGGAAAGTGATGGTTAGTTGGCCATCACCGTGTACCAGTACAGCGAACATTTTTCATACAAAACAAACATGTAACACCCTGAATAGCGAAGTAAAGGAATTATCTATTCCCATAGACAAACATGTTACAGTTGAATGTGTATTTAACATGGGATATTTGTGGATGAACAGAAAGGAATAATTTGAACAAACAACCGCAGACATTTTGTTTCGAAGACGGTGGACAAACACTGTTGTCTCACGAGTTGTGAGTGAGTTTAGTTTTACGCCGCACTAAAGAATATCCCAGCTAATACTCTTGTCTGGACCAGACGATTCCGTGATCAACATGGATCTACGCAACTGTAAACCGATGACGTGTGGTTTCGCGAGTGACGAACTACGGATATAACGCTTGTTTCGTGTTACAGGGAGTTTGTTATATCCAAGGTTATCTGCCTTGTATTATTGCTGTATATCAGGTGAATGCTGAAGGGGCAAGTATTAGCCCAGAAACGTCGTGTGTAAATAATAAAGAAGTTGCACATATATATCAAGTGTCTTGGTTTACCCTACCAATTTCTAAAATATCAAACATCTGTTCTGTTACATTGTTTCAGCTCCGTTGAAGCCGCACGATACAGGGCAGTATAGTGAGTGTACATGAGACTTTGTACCATGTATGGAAGTGTTGAAGAATCGACTCCAAACAAAGTTTCATTCTTGATTTGTGAACAATGTATAGTGTTATAATGCCGTGAGTGTGAGCATCTTCATCGGGAGATGTCAGCAGTGTTTCAGATGGTGACAAGTCCCTACATATTAGCATAGTTTCTCTTCCGATAAGTTTTGCATTATTTTATTAATAGTTCATGTCTTGGAGAATATGAATATGCAGTAAAAATATTAATGCAGATGTTAGTGAGGCTGTTGAACTGATTTGTTTGTTATTCTGTAGTGTATGTGTTTGATAAACATGGTCTGATGATCACATAACATGTTTCAGTTCCCTTGACTGAGAAGCCGCCTGAAGCGGTGCAGCCTGAAGTGGAGCAGCCTGAAGCAGACCAGGTTGGTGAGTATACTGACGTGTTGCTGTTGACATCACTGAGAGATGTGTTATATTGAATGTATAATTTAATACATGTAGTTTCAAGTGTCAATAATGTTTTCTGATCTCCTTCGCAGTATAACAGATTTCATATCTTGAGTCCTGAACATAATACTCCGAGTTATAGAACAAACTTTCATTTTTCTGTGAAGTAACTGCGACGTCTATTTTGACAGAATCACCAGGAAACGAGGATACACACAAGAATGTTCCCAACATTGACAAGCAGCCGACAGGTATATATATAAACTGCGATTTTTGTACCAACTTTGTTTTTAACATTCCCACTCCTTTAACTTCGCTGTGGTTCCATCAAGCGACAGTTCACAAATTGAGCAATTGATTTTATGATAAATGAATGATGGATCTCTGAGAGGAGATGTTACTACAATGAATGGATACACGAATGTATAATTTACTGAGTTATGTCTCCCAACTTAATTTCAGTGTGTGGTATTATTTCTGTCTGAACAGATCAGCAGTCCAGGGAGAAGGACATCAGTGACCTGTTCGTGGAAACTGAGGGTTACCGGAAGGTTAAATACAAACTGGAAACACTTGGCCACGTGACAATAAGCAGTGGTCCAGGAGAAGGTAAAACATCCTGATGTTAGGAGCTGAATACAGGAGACAGGGGTATGAAGTGGTGCTGGTTGAGGACGTTGGTACTTTCCAGTTGTCTGATTGTCTGTGTAAGGACAAAGACGTCTGTGTCATATTCGATGACATATTTCAGAACGCTGGGCCATCCATGGACGTACATCGCCTGAGACAAGTTCTGTATGAGCTCCATGGACATCTTGAACCCTGGAAAACCAAGTTGGAAAGAAGATACAACATCCTGCAGCAGACACCAGGAACCGAACAAAGAAGAAAATATAGTACGAACGTATATATCATATTCACTACAGATTCCAACAACCTTGAACATACAATGCCAAAACTCAAAGAACCTATATTGTTCCAAAATTCTTCAGTAGTAGACTTGACCAAATTGATGACAGGTGAAGAGAAGAAGGCCATATGGCTGAAACATAAAAAATCATTACGACTGTAAAACCAAGGTCGACGTAGACATAATTATTTCATACGAGGAAAGGGTTGGGTTTTCTCTAGCATGCAAGCTTTTCTCAAGATATGCTCCCTTTCAAAAACACAAAGAATCGTTTTTTGAAATGCATAAATTCCATCTAAAACAGGAACTGCATAAGAACATAAATCACCTGGACGATCAGTCAGTCAACTTTCTGTTGAAGTCATTATGTGGAGGTGAAATGAATACAAGAAAACACCACACTGTATCCGACAACCAAATACAAGGCACACACCTGAAAGATGTTTCAGCCCTTGTCTCATGTTCCCATCGTCTAATACATGACATGTGTATGTCTGCCATATTGGATATTACACCAGAGCTGTTCCTCCATAACTGTAGTTTAAAGTTCATCTGTGACCATGTACGTGACCAGCTGCATGACACCGCTCCAGCAGAACAGACTGCCATTTATTTCCCAGGTGCTCACAGTGACGTCATTACCGCCAGGCTGGCTGAAGCTATTGTTGATGGCACGTTCAGTAACTACATCATGCATCCCATCTGGAAAAGGAAGGAAGTTGCAGACAAAGTGCAACAAATGGTTCTAGATGTTGGAACCAAGTCTCATGATACAAAGCACTGCATTCTCCATTATGCCTGTTTCCTCGGGAACAATGACATCATAGACCGACTCCTCCCCATTGTGACATCAACAGACGTGCTGTGAATGGTTGGACGCCAGTTATGTTTGCAGTTGCTGGTGGACAGATGGACAGTTTGAAAATTCTAGTGATTCATAAAGCTGATATCACACTGTGTGATGCCATGAACAATAACCTGTTACATTTGGCTTGTCAGTATGGAAACATTTCACTTGTCAAATATGTTGAAAAAAAGCTGAAGAAAAGTAACACTTGTCATATCAACAGTCGAGGAGTGAATGGCTGGACACCAATTATGCATGCAATTGTCACGGGCAAGAATGATCTCTCTGATTATCTAGTCAAACAAGGCACAAGTGATTTAACCTTACGTGATAGCAACAACAACACTGTTCTTCATCTGGCATGTATATATGGAAATGAATCCATTGTAAGTTCGTTGTTACCATCAACAGACAAAGATTGTCAAGGGAATAACGGTATGGCGCCTGTGATGTGTGCTCTGTTGTCAAGGAGGATGGATATGTTCGACTTCGTGTCACAAAATGCAGACCTGTCATTGACTGACGATGACAACAACAGTCTCCTTCTTTTAACCTGCCTCCTTGATGACATACCTGACATTCTACTGACAACGATTGACATGCATTTGACCAGCTGGATTAAGCAAAGGCTGATCTTCACCCGAAAGATGACAACAACAACAATATCCTTCACCTGGCATGTCATGGTGGACATGTCTCCATTGTGAAACATCTACTGACAATGTATGACATCAACAGTCGTGGGAATAGAGGATGGACGCCAGTTATGTATGCAGCTGCCAGGACGTGTTTGACCTGCTTGTGTCAGAGGGGGCTGACGTATCTTTGAAGGATGACTACAGCAACACTGTATTTCAGTCAGCATGTGTAGGTGGGAACCTATCCATTGTGGAATGTCTACTGCCAAAATCTGAAGTCAACAGTTCGGATTATCTCGGCAGGACTGCACTTATGAAAGCTGCTGAGTCAGGGCACATTCATGTTTTTGATTTTCTTGTGTCACAAAAACTTGATCTGGAACTGACTGACCACTTCAGTAACACCGTTTTACATTTTGCATGTGAGGGCGGGAATGTAGCCATTCTTGAACATTTGCTGACAACACCTGACCTCAATGCGAGGGGAACGAATGGCTGGTCACCAGTTATGGTAGCATCTCGATTTGGAAAGTCAGATGTTTTCAACTTGCTTGTTTCAAAAGAAGTGAATCTCAATCTGACTGACGAACACGGTAACAACATGCTTCACCTCGCATATCAGGGAGGAGACATGTCGATCACAGAGCATCTGCTTCCATTGTTTGACATCAACAGCCGTGGACAGGATGGCAGGACGGCTGTGATGTACGCAGCTGTCAACAGAGTGAAGAGTGTGTTTGATCTGCTTGTCTCAGAGGGAGCTGATACATCGCTGAAGGATGACCACAGCAATTCTGTGTTTCATTTAGCTTGTCTGGGTGGAAATAAGTCAATAGTGGAACAACTACTTCCACATGTTGACATCAACAGTTTGGGAGACAGTGGGAGAACAGCAATCATGAAGGCAGCTTCTGTCAGAAACAAAAGTGTTTTCGATTTTCTGGTCTCAAAGAACGCCGATCTGAAAGTGATCGATGACTACAGAGATAGTGTCCTACACTCAGCATGTAAGGGAGGCGGGTCCACGATCGTTCAGTGTGTTCTTCAAATGTTTGACATCAACACCAGGGGAAAGAAGGGTTTGACACCAGCGATGATAGCAGCCTCGTTAGGAAACAGACATGTGCATGTTTCACAGCAAGCAAATCTCACTATAGCTGATGACTATGGTAACAACGTTCCTCATCTCGCCTGTCAAGGAGGAAACAGGTCCATCATAAAGCATCTGCTTCCGCTGTTTGACATCAACACTCGTGGACAAGATGGCAGGACGCCTGTGATGTGAATGGAGTGAAGAGCGTGTTTGACCTTGTCTCTAAAGTAGCTGACATGTCACTTAAAGATGATTACAACGCGCCCATATTTCATTTAGCCTGTCCTGGTGGAACACTTCAATAGTAGAATACCTCCTACAGCAGAGTGATGTCAATCACCGGGGATTCAACAACAGAACAGCTATCATGGAGGCAGGCAAAGCTTTTTTTTATCATTTTCTTGTGTCAAAGGCAGCTGAGCTGAATCTAACCGATGACTGCAATGATAATGTTCTACATTTTGCATATCTTGGCGGAGACTCAGCTATTGTATTCTGAAGATGATGGACATAAATGCTAAAGGACGGAATAGCTGCACACCAGTTATGCATGCAGCCTGGGCAGGACAGAAGAATGTCTTCAGCCTCCTTGTGTCACAAAGTGTTGAGAAAGAACTGCTGGATCTCTCCAGGAACAATTTACTGCATCTTGCTTGTCAGGGAGGAAACACGTCCATCATAAAGTACCTCCTGCCTCTGTTTGACATCAACAGTCCGGGAGAAGATGGATGGACGCCAATAATGATGGCAGCTCTCAGTGGAAAGATGGAGGCTTATGAATTGATTGTAACAAATGGTGGTATTCCATCTTTGACTACTCCACAGAATGATAATGTTCTTCATGCAGCTTGTCAAGGAGGGAACAAATCCATTGTTAGGAAGGTCATTGACAACTTTGGCATCAACACAAGGGGTAAGAATGGTTGCACGCCTCTGATGAGAGCTGTTGTTGGAGGTCATATGAGTCTGGTGAAGTTCCTGATGTCCCGAGATGCTGACCATACACTGGTGGACAAGGATGGACTCACTCTTCTACATCTTGCGTGCAAATTCGGTCACCTTGACATTGTGAAGCATATATCAGACAAGTTCAATATTGATGTTCAAGACAAAGGTGGCTTATCATGTATCATGACATCAGTGTTACATGGTAAAGTTGCAGTGTTTGACTACCTGAGAAGTAGAGGTGCTGATCTGACACTGGTTGACAGTACAGGGGATGACGCCTTGAACATTGCCCTTAAAGTGGACTGCAGACAAATCATAGAAACACTTACATCAGGTGGTGAGTCAAAGAGGAATGTCAAGCCATTGAATGACATAATGAGGTCAATAATGAGGGCTGATGTGTACTATCTGACTATGTACAAGCCAGACAGAGCTTAAACTCGTCAGTCGGAGATGAAAAAAAGTATACGAAATCAAGAAACTGACAACCATGAAATGAACCGATAGGGGGCAAGTACGTAACTTGAAGGTCGACAGTTACAGAAGTCCTTGGTAAAAGGGATAATAACTTAGATGACTTGCTGAAGGGGCAAGTACTTTACTTGGAAGTCTACCTTTAAAGAAGTCCGTCTTAGAGGAGGCTAATGCGTAGCTTGAAGGTCAACGAAGAAGTCTCTGAAGAAAGAGGCAAGTACTTGGCTGGAATGACTGCTTTGAAAGAAATCATTGATAACGGAGGCAAGTACTTGGATTGAAGGACTGCAGTTGAAGATATCATTGATAACGGAGTCAAGTATTTGGATTGAAGGACTGCAGTTGAAGAAATCATTGACAAAGGAAGCCAGTACTTGGCTTGAATGACAGCAGTTAAAGATGTCATTGATAACGTAGGCATGTACTTAGCTTGAATGACTGCAGTTGAAGATATCATTGATAACGGAGGCAAGTACTTAGCTTGAAGGACTGCAGTGGAAGATACAATTGATAACGGAGGCAAGTACTTGGCTTGAATGACTGCAGTTGAAGATATCATTGATAACGGAGGCAAGTACTTAGCTTGAAGGACTGCAGTGGAAGATACCATTGATAACGGAGGCAAGTACTTGGCTTGAAGGACTGCAGTTGAAGAATCATTGATAAAGGAGTCAAGCACTTGGCTTGAATGACTGCAGCTGAAGATATCATTGATAAAGGTGTCAAGTACTTAGCTTGAAGGACTGCAGTGGAAGATACAGTTGATAACGGAGGCAAGTACTTGGCTTGAAGGACTGCAGTTGAAGATATCATTGATAACGAAGGCAAGTACTTAGCTTGAAGGACTGCAGTTAAAGAAGTCATTGATAAAAGAGGCAAGTACTTGGCTTGAAGGTCTAGAGTTGAAGAAATCATTGATAAAGGAGGCAAGTACTTGGCTGGAATGACTGCAGATGAAGATACCATTGATAACGAAGGCAAGTACTTGGCTTGGAGGACTGCAGTTGAAGAAATCATTGACAAAGGAAGGCAAGTACTTGGCTTGAAGGACTGCAGTTGAAGAAATCATAGATAACGGACGCTAGTTCTTGTCTTGAATGACAGCAGTTAAAGAAGTCATTGATAACGGAGGCAAGTACTTGGCTTGAATGACTGCAGTTGAAGATATCATTGATAACGGAAGCAAGTTCTTATCTTGAAGGACTGCAGTTGAAGAAATCATTGATAACGGAGGCAAGTACTTGGCTTGAATGACTGCAGTTGAAGATATCATTGATAACGGAGGCAAGTACTTGGCTTGAAGGACTGCAGTTGAAGAAATCATTAATAACGGAGGCAAGTACTTAGCTTGTATGACTGCAGCTAAAGAAATCATTGATAACGGAGGCAAGTACTTGGCTTGAAGGACTGCAGTTGAAGATATCATTGATAACGGAGGCAAGTACTTAGCTTGGATGACTGTAGTTAAAGAAGTCATTGATAAAAGAGGCAAGTACTTGGCTTGAAGGTCTACAGTTGAAGAAATCATTGATAAAGGAGGCAAGTACTTGGCTTGAAGGACTGCAGTTAAAGAAATCATTGATAACGGAGGCTAGTACTTGGCTTGAAGGACTGCAGTTGAAGAAATCATTGATAAAGGAGGCAAGTACTTGCCTTGAAGGACTGCAGTTGAAGAAATCATTGATAACGGAGGCAAGTACTTGGCTGGAATGACAGCAATTAAAGAAGTCATTGATAAAAGAGGCAAGTACTTGGCTTGAAGGTCTACAGTTGAAGAAATCATTGATAACAGAGGCAAGTACTTGGCTTGAATGACTGCAGTTGAAGAAATCATTGATAAAGGAGGCAAGTACTTGGCTTGAAGGACTGCAGTTGAAGAAATCATTGATAACGGAGGCAAGTACTTGGCTTGAAGGACTGCAGTTGAAGATATCATTGATAAAAGAGGCAAGTACTTGGCTTGAAGGACTGCAGTTAAAGAAATCATTGATAACGGAGGCTAGTACTTGGCTTGAAGGACTGCAGTTGAAGAAATCATTGATAAAGGAGGCAAGTACTTGCCTTGAAGGACTGCAGTTGAAGAAATCCTTCATAACGGAGGCAAGTACTTGGCTTGAATGACAGCAATTAAAGAAGTCATCGATAAAAGAGGCAAGTACTTGGCTTGAAGGACTGCAGTTGAAAAAAATCATTGATAACGGAAGTAAATACTTGGCTTGAATGACTGCAGCTGAAGAAATCATTGATAACGGAGGCAAGTACTTGGCTTGAAGGACTGCAGTTGAAGATATCATTGATAAAAGGAGGCAAGTACTTGGCTTGAAGGACTGCAGTTGAAGAAATCATTGATAACGAAGGCAAGTACTTGGCTTGAATGACTGCAGTTGAAGATATCATTGATAACGTAGGCAAGTACTTGGATTGAATGTCTGCAGTTGAAAAAATGATTGATAACGGAGGCAAGTACTTGGCTTGAATGACTGCTGTTGAAGAAATCATTGATAAAAGAGGCAAGTACTTATCTTGAAGGAATGCAGTTGAAGAAATCATTGATAAAGTAGGCAAGTACTTGGCTTGAATGACTGCAGTTGAAGATACCATTGATAACGAAGGCAAGTACTCAGCTTGAAGGACTGCAGTTGAAGAAATCATTGATAAAGGAGGCAAGTACTTAGCTTGAAGGAATGCAGTTGAAGAAATCATTGATAAAGTAGGCAAGTACTTGGCTTAAATGACGGCAGTTGAAGATACCATTGATAACGAAGGCAAGTACTTAGCTTGAACGACTGCAGTTGAAGAAATCATTGATAAAAGAGGCAAGTGCTTGGCTTGAAGTACTGCAGTTGAAGATATCATTGATAAAGGAGGCAAGTACTTGGCTTGAAGGACTGCAGTTGAAGATATCATTGATAACGGAGGCAAGTACTTGGCTTGAAGGACTGTAGTTGAAGAAATCATTGATAACGGAGGCAAGTACTTGGCTGGAATGACTGCAGATGAAGATACCATTGATAACGAAGGCAAGTAACTTGGCTTGAATGACTGCAGTTGAAGAAATCATTGATAAAGGAGGCAAGTACTTGGCTTGAAGGACTGCAGTTGAAGATATCATTGATAACGTAGGCAAGTACTTGGATTGAAGGACTGCAGTTGAAGAAATCATTGATAACGGAGGCTAGTACTTGGCTTGAATGACAGCAGTTAAAGAAGAAATCATTGATAACGGAGGCAAGTACTTGGCTTGAATGACTGCAGTTGAAGATATCATTGATAACGGAAGCAAGTACTTATCTTGAAGGACTGCAGTTGAAGAAATCATTGATAACGGAGGCAAGTACTTGGCTTGAATGACTGCAGTTGAAGATATCATTGATAACGGAGGCAAGTACTTGGCTTGAAGGACTGCAGTTGAAGATATCATTGATAACGGAGTCAAGTACTTAGCTTGGATGACTGTAGTTAAAGAAGTCATTGATAAAAGAGGCAAGTACTTGACTTGAAGGTCTACAGTTGAAGAAATCATTGATAAAGGAGGCAAGTACTTGGCTTGAAGGACTGCAGTTAAAGAAATCATTGATAACGGAGGCAAGTACTTGGCTTGAAGGTCTACAGTTGAAGAAATCATTGATAAAGGAGGCAAGTACTTGGCTTGAAGGACTGCAGTTAAAGAAATCATTGATAACGGAGGCTAGTACTTGGCTTGAAGGACTGCAGTTGAAGAAATCATTGATAAAGGAGGCAAGTACTTGCCTTGAAGGACTGCAGTTGAAGAAATCCTTCATAACGGAGGCAAGTACTTGGCTTGAATGACAGCAATTAAAGAAGTCATCGATAAAAGAGGCAAGTACTTGGCTTGAAGGTCTACAGTTGAAGAAATCATTGATAACAGAGGCAAGTACTTGGCTTGAATGACTGCAGTTGAAGAAATCATTGATAAAGGAGGCTCGTACTTGGCTTGAAGGACTGCAGTTGAAGAAATCATTGATAACGGAGGCAAGTACTTAGCTTGAACGACTGCAGTTGAAGAAATCATTGATAAAAGAGGCAAGTGCTTGGCTTGAAGTACTGCAGTTGAAGATATCATTGATAAAGGAGGCAAGTACTTGGCTTGAAGGACTGCAGTTGAAGATATCATTGATAACGGAGGCAAGTACTTGGCTTGAAGGACTGTAGTTGAAGAAATCATTGATAACGGAGGCAAGTACTTGGCTGGAATGACTGCAGATGAAGATACCATTGATAACGAAGGCAAGCACTTGGCTTGAATGACTGCAGTTGAAGAAATCCTTGATAAAGGAGGCAAGTACTTGGCTTGAAGGACTGCAGTTGAAGATATCATTGATAACGTAGGCAAGTACTTGGATTGAAGGACTGCAGTTGAAGAAATCATAGATAACGGAGGCTAGTACTTGGCTTGAATGACAGCAGTTAAAGAAGTCATTGATAACGGAGGCAAGTACTTGGCTTGAATGACTGCAGTTGAAGATATCATTGATAACGGAAGCAAGTACTTATCTTGAAGGACTGCAGTTGAAGAAATCATTGATAACGGAGGCAAGTACTTGGCTTGAATGACTGCAGTTGAAGATATCATTGATAACGGAGGCAAGTACTTGGCTTGAAGGACTGCAGTTGAAGATATCATTGATAACGGAGTCAAGTACTTAGCTTGGATGACTGTAGTTAAAGAAGTCATTGATAAAAGAGGCAAGTACTTGGCTTGAAGGTCTACAGTTGAAGAAATCATTGATAAAGGAGGCAAGTACGCGAAAGCTTGAAGGACTGCAGTTAAAGAAATCATTGATAACGGAGGCAAGTACTTGGCTTGAAGGTCTACAGTTGAAGAAATCATTGATAACGGAGGCAAGTACTTGGCTTGAAGGACTGCAGTTAAAGAAATCATTGATAACGGAGGCTAGTACTTGGCTTGAAGGACTGCAGTTGAAGAAATCATTGATAACGGA